GAAAATATGCTTTTTTTCTGATTAAAACACTTTACGTATTTATAAACAATTCAAACTGTAATTATAACTCATATAAATTGCAGAAACAATTAATCTCGCTTAAACATCGCCCAAACAAACGGACAGAGCTCTATTTGTTTTTTGGACATCTAGGGATAATTTCCTAATAAACAATTCAATAAATACTGACATCATCTCAGTCTATCCAATAGGTGTACAAGCCCTTCCAACATAATTGTATCAAAATACTTAAATGTCCATAGACTACATAAATGGGAACTTAACTAATATACAACATATGATCAAAGTCCTTTACATGCATCAACAACATGAAAGATATCCAATAACTATGATACTAGCCTAAGTCCCTCCTCCATGTATCAACAGTACATACGCTCAAATAAGACTACATAAACATATAATGCTACAGTAATCCAAAGTAACATGCTATATGCAAGTCCATAATATACAAAACATAAACAATAATGATAGTTATGTCAACAACATGCAGCACAAGTCAATCTACTGTAGCCTCCTGCCAACAGACGCTCTAGCACCCTCAGTGTTTGTACCTTAAAGGGGATCCCCACAACACGGGGTGAGATAAAAATCTCAGTAAATCAGGGATTCTTGGAAGATTCCTCCACCCCAAAATTCACTTCTAGTGTAAAAGCAATAACAGTAAATAATATATACATATCCATGCAGTGTGTAAAATATCTCCATAAGACATCCCTCTAGCACTCTGCCATCCTAAGAATTCTTAGATGTAAATAGTCATACTAGTCAGCTAAACTACCAAGTATGAATTACGCATCGTCATGCAACATACAAAATAGAGGGAAATACCATCATATGCCACACCTAGTGCATACACATACATTATGAATGCATTAAACTACTTTATTGTAATTACATACACCAATAATAACCACTACCCCATCAGGGCTTGATGGAACAATAAAGGGATAAATTCCAAAGTCCAAAGGCTTACCTGCTCGAAGCTTCCAACCTACCATCGTCTCAGAACTAAGTATGCAATCAACAAGCTTTATATCAAATTCACAAACTCACAAAATGAACACCTACACAAGGTGCAATGCCATGAATCAATTTCATCTATGAATATATCAATATTCATTAACAATCTAGGCAATTCAACACATTACATAAGTGAAGAGCTTACCTATACTTGATTTAGTTCAAGTAACCAAATCGTGTTCCATAGAGTCCTTCCGTTCTTGCTCAATCAATGAGGGTCCATAAGGCTCAATTCTAGCAACACAATGGACACCATCAATATCAACATTACACATTCTAACATCCATTACTTGGAATGCAAGAAAACTCCACATTTAGGCATGAATTTTGAAATTTAAGGAAGGTAGGCAAAATGATCTTCCAAATACATTTTCATCATTAAAATCCTCATCTAGACACTTTTCCCCAAAGGACCTAAGTCCCAATCATGCTCAAACTACCTCATTCAAGCCACATTTTCAAGAATCAAAACCTAATATACCCATTATCATAGAAACCATTGAAATGCTTGAATCTTAATATGAACTCATCTAGAATCATGCAATGAAGGGATTGCAAACATCACATCAAGCAATGGGCCGCTCCAAGACACTCTTCCATAGATGGAGCATCACTTTCTAAATGGTTTTTCTCCTCACACAAGGCTTTGTAAGAGAAAGTGGATTATAGGTTGTGTTCTCCTCACAATTCTATGCAATATTGGTCTTTACTTCAATCAATTTCATTGATAGATGAAGAAGTTACAATTTCAAGCTTTTCTATCATGGGGTTTCGGGTGAGATCGAGAGAGATCGAGAGAGATGAAGCAATTTGAAGCTTTTCTAAGTTAAAACACTTAACCTTAGTTAAGTAACTTTTCATTGGGTAAAAACTTATCCATCCCATTATCTTAACTTTCTTCTAAATTGGTCTTATTGGCTTAGAATATTTTTACAGTAATATTCCCCAACTTATTTTTAAATTCTGGATAATTTTGCCTAGACACATTTTTACCCTAAAACTCTTGCTAACTGCACTTTTTGTCCAAAAATGACTTTTATCTATTTAATTAAGTCTTTTACTTAATTAAACTCAACATTGCATGATTAATTCTTTAATCACATGCAATTTCATAATTACACATGTTAAGGTTATTATACTCATACTCACTAACTGATTTTCATTTGGATCCAACTGTCAGCTTAGGCTATAACTAGGCACCGTAACTAAGTAATTCATTGAGTAAACAACCATTATACCTGTTCTGGCTAGCCCAATATGGCGGGCCCAACGGCAGAAAGCCCATGCTACCCCTGCTACATCTACCCAGCAACATCAAAGCAGTCTCGACAGCGCTACCATTCATGTTCCCATGCAACAAGCTTTTCAACATAAGACACCAGATTGTCTTACTTAGGTATCCCCCACTCCCCTTTGTTTGCATAAGCACCAAAATATCTTCCCTCTTATGACTTTCCCTGCACAACAGCTGCTACAGTGCCAGCTGCTATGTGCCTTACCCCAACAAGGTGCAGGCTGCCTTGGCTCTTCCCCATAATATAGTTGACTTGACTCATTCTTCCACCAGATTGGAACCTATAAATACCCCCCTCTTCTCTACTATCACTATTTCATGAGTCGTTACTCTCTCAATTTGGAAAGTCATTATAGTCATTCAACACCCCCCCTCCCCCATTGTTATACACTGCACCTGGGACCTCCTTACATAGCCTTGGTCTATACCATTGTCATCAATGACACCCCTATAACTATCGTCACACCCCTTGGGGTTACATACGTTGAAAGTAAGAACATATCGTTACACGTTAGGCTGCATTAGTATCTTTGAAGAGAAATTGAAGCGAATAAATTAATATACATACAAACACCTGAAGCTGCTCACTAGATACATGGCATGCAGAAGGTAGCTAGACGACGAGTTTTTTCGGTTCGTAATTAATGAGAGTTCTGAAAATACATATGTTGGTTAGTTCTCCAACATATACAACATATATTTTAAGGGGGTGATTATTATAGCATTGTTCACAAAAAGCTTATCTTATTCATGTTGTTTTCCCCACTTTGGACTGAATGGTATGTGCATGTAAGTGACAAGATTATGAGATATGTTTCAAACTGTTAGATTCACAATTGCACACTATATAAAATGGAATAATAGAACGGAATATAACAGCTATGTTCTATTTTTTTATTCTATTCTTTTCAATGAAATAATTTTTTTAAAATTTTATGTCCCATCTTTTTATTTTTAAAATGCATTAAAATATAGCTCCTATATTATGTTTTTGTCTTTTTTAACATGTTTTATCTCATTTTTAAAATGCACTATGTATATATTTCTTTTCAAGCACAATATAACTTTCTCGCCAAAATTGCTATATATGCATGATTGGAAAACCTTGCACGTCACTCTAATTGAGCTGAACACGCTCATTCTATAAAAATAAATTTCATTCACCATAACTTGTTCTTATCAAGATTCCAAGTTCCTCTTACAAACAAAATTTTGAACCAAAATAATATTGACAAAAGTTTCTTCGAAAGAGATAATTTGTTTTTAAACACGCTATCGACTGTGAATTTGGTGTCGGAATTAACTAGACTAATATAGTTATCTTGGTTGAATATGTCTAGCATCGATCACTATTGGAAGAAAATTTATAGCTTTGTTTGGACAGTCATTCAGATTTAGCTAGTGGTCTCTTTTTTTACCCCGATTATACAGTATTCTATTTTGAGTAGTAGAAGGCTTTATGTAAAGAAATAAAGGGGTATGGTTTGTGGAACATTACCAGCTAGTATTTAAAAGAGTAATGAACAAAAATTACGATCTTCTCTATAAACTATCCATGTAAGACGGCTTGAATTGTTATTTTTCTTAAATCAAAATTGGCTGAGTAAAGAGTTTTTTCTTTATTTGTTATTGCTGTCTTTATATGACCTTCCACCCTGGTAGGGTCGTCGCTCTGTGCTAATAAACAATGTTGCATCGATACCGTTACAGGACATAACATGATCTTTTGACATATTAATTATAAAAATATTAGATTTCGACGTGTTATGATATTAAATGATATTTTTAATTTATGTAGTATATTATATTAAAAATTCAATACTTTAACAAACAAAAAATGAAATTAAACTTATGGGGAAGGTTATATTTACAAACTTTTTGTTTATAAACTCTTACAAATTACACTAAATATGACCGGTCATGCTTCAATCAAGAGTGTATGACAGGTCATACTTAGTGTAATTTGTAAAAAAAATTTGTAAACGGATCATTCCCCTAACCTTGTAATACCCATCAATTTTCCAAAAAAAAACATAAGATATAAATATTTAATATTATATGTAATCCAAAAAAAAAAAAAATTAATATTATATTTTCAAATTGAAAATCTCTTATACACTCCAGTGAGATTTATTTGGTATCCATTTTTAATTTTTATTATATCAATATTAGTAAAATATCGATCAATCTTTTTATGACATGTAATGAAATTTTAAATATTATAAATGTCGGAACGTGTCAGAGTGTCAAGAATATTGTCGGGGAGCATTAGACACGACACTTCACATTTATTTAAGTGTCGGTGCAACATGGACGAATACAAGAGGTAAAATTTCACATGTGAGGAACTTAGTAGATAGCACTAATAATAACAAACATTTCGTCGCACACGATTCTTCATTTGTAACAAACTACCTTATTCGTGAAGTACTACCATACAATGATTTTCATATATTGGACGTACGTAAATGAATTGAAGATCTTTTTATAAACAAAAAGATGCAGCTGACAAGGGTAATCCACCATCTATGGAAATATATATTTTTTTTATTTTACCATTTATAACGTACACCAGCTGGAGAATGAATTTTGAACATTTTTCATGTAGTGTAATCATTTTCTTGTACAATAATTAACCATCTTGCTTTTTCCACGAGCTAATAGTATGTGCATTCTTTTTAACTTTTCTTCCCCCACTAGAATACTTGCTTTGCAAACCATTTTGAAGAGCCTACAAATATGTGAAGCATCACTTGAGAGCACAAAGAAAGAGAAAGAGAGAGAGAGAGAGACTCGTGTTGCTTCCATGGCTTATAGCTTTCCTGATGTGTATTGCTGGATTCAGAACCTTCCACCAATATCAGAATGGGAAACAAGCACCATGGCCCTAAATATATGTTCTTCTTCAAGTTCATCCCAACCATTTCTTAATCTTACCTTACCCAAAAATCATGAATCACCAAAACTCTCTTTTGTCATTATTGCAGAGTTAGATATTCCTGTTCCTCTTTGGACCTCAAAACCATTCAAGCTTAGCTCAAAAACCATGAAGTTAATAGATGAAGAAACCATTTCCAATCTCTTTGTTAATTTCATTCAGGCTATCCTCCAATATGGCTCCAACAAGAATAGCCCCTTCATCAGAATTCCAAAACTTGATTCTTTTCCCAACATTTCAGATGTTTTCAATTGTTCTTTCTTCACTCTCTCGTTCCTAGTTTGCATGTATGAAGCTCCAGCAGAGATTCGTTCTAGATGTATTACTATTTTTAAAGACCATTTGACAGGTTTTCAATCAAGACAAGCATCAAGTTCGCTTATGAAACTTTTGGGGTCCAACTTGGCTGAACAGTGGATGCGTTCTGTGAACCTTGCTATTACTAATTGGATTGGGGAGATTGAAGCACTTGACAACACCTTCCGAACACCATGCCCTCTATTTTCTGTTGCATCTTCGACATTTGGGTTATGGAAAGTGCAATTGTATTGTCCTGTCATAACCATGGATGTTGAGAATTCAAAAAGCCATCCAGCAAATGAGAAACTTCAATTCTCTCTCAATTATCACCAAGTTGAAAGTGTTCTTCAATTTAATTACAAAGTCATACTCAAAGAGAACTGGGTTGAAATCATGGTCAACATTGACAACATAAGGTAATCAATAATATTATCCAATTAAATTTATATTTGACATGTGTGGAATTCCCTTATATTTTAGATTAAAAAAATACAATAAACAATAGGTGACCGAAATCACAAGATTTTATATGAATCTTATGCGTCTTTATTTATTCTACTTCAGTACACTGAAGTGATTTTTCCCCCCTTAATTTGTCATGTCTAATTTAACTTCATATTTACATTCCTTGTGGATAGGTGTGATGTTACCAAATTGGTGAATGATTATCTTATGAGGGAACGAGGGGCTGGTACATCTGAAAAACACTTTCCTTCGGGAATATCATTGCAACTTACACCCACTCTCCAAAACCAAGTGTTGAGTCTATCAGTTGGCAAATCCTCAGAGAACCCAGAAAGAGAAATTGGTGTGGACAAAAGTATAGAAGCTTCATTTGAGCCACCTCATCCCTTGGGACTTAAGGTATCTGCTGGAGAGTCCACAACCGTGAGCTTGAAGCCCTGGAAATTTGAGGAGTCTGTTTATGGCTACACTGCAAATTTGAATTGGTTTCTTCATGATAGCACGGATGGAAAAGAAGTTTTCTCAACAAAGCCTTCAAAGTGTGCATTGCTTAACCCAAAGTCATGGTTCAAGAACCGGTACTCGAGTGCTCACCGACCTTTCACTAGGGAAGGAGGGGTTATTTTTGCAGGTGATGAATATGGAGAAAGAGTGTGGTGGAAAGTGGACAAAAGTGCTATAGGGAAAACAATGGAGTGGGAGATAAGGGGTTGGATATTGTTAACATATTGGCCTAACAAACACATGTCATTGTACTCTGAAACTAGGAGGATGGAGTTTAGAGAAATAGTCCATCTTAATGTTGCTTAGCTTTAGCTTAATAGTGATGTGGAACATATGATTCCTTAATTCTACCATATAAATAAACCTATATCCAGTTCTTCTTCTTCTTTTTTTAATTGATATTATTTTGGATAGATGATTGTGTGATACAAGAGTGTATTATTAACCATGAGCAATATAAAGCCATTTGATATTAATAATAATGATTCTGGGCAATTTGGATGATGCCTTACTTACTTTAAAAGTAGTTTTTACAAAAAGCTAAAGCTATTTTGTATTTGGATGTAGGACATGAAAATCACTTTTAATTAAATATTTTATTTGGATGTTAAAATTAAAAAGCAATTTTCATCTATTAAATTACTAAAAATAACATGTAAAAACAAATCATAGTACCAAATTTGGCTGTGGTGAAGGCGGTGATGATGGCAACGACAATGGTAGTAGTGACAGCGTGTTGGTCCCAGATGAACTCAAGAGGGAGGGGGAGATAATTTAGTTTATAGAAAATTTGGCAATTTAAAAACACACACAACTGCGATAAAATAAAGAGTAAAAGGAAGAAGTGACACAGATATTTTAACGTGGGAAAAACTCCAACTGGAGGAAAAAAATTACGACCTCAATCTGGATACCTCTATCCAATTGGGAGACAAATCCACTATCGATCAATTCAAAGTGCAAGAATGGTTCATATTCTTCCCTTAATATATTATACATTCTTTTGAATAGCTTTTATCCTAGCCTTGCACTCAAATTTTAGATGTCCTTTTTTGGCACAATGATAACACACTCTATTCTCATACAAGTTCACGTGCTTAGTTTTGGTTTTATTGGAAGATTTCTTATTTCATTCAAATCCTAACCCATGCTTAGATTTATTGTAATTCTTGTTCAACCAGTCAATAACATTGGATCTATCTGCCTTGGGGGTCCTAAGGGCAACCTCTAACTTATTTAGAAAGTCCTCTTTCTCTTTAGTCAATTCTTCTACCTTTCCCTCCAATCGCTCAATCTCTGCATCTACTTGATTATCATTTATTACAACACATTCCTCTTTCTTAGTTTCTTGCACTTTCTCTATCAAAGAGGCATTCAAGCTTTCTAATCCAGAAGTAGTGCTCTTAATGATCTCCTCATCAAGATTAACATTTGATTTCTTAAGATCTTTGTTAGCCTTAAAGAAGTTCTTAAACTCTTTCTTCATTTCACTAAAATCATCTAATAACTCATAATTGTACTCAAGTATTTTCAAGTATTCATCAATTACAAAATTTACTTCTTGTATCAAATGCTCAATATCTCTCTCCACAAGGACTCCCACTCAAAATCAAGCTAGGATTATGAAAGATGGGAAGATTTGGAGTGGTTTAGGCTTTTAAATAGTGAATTGGGGTTTTTTATGAAATGTGATTAAATTAGCTATGTTCTAGGAAGAATGGAGCTTAGCGTATGTTATGAGAAATGCTAGGAATGATGATTAATCGGTGAAAATGAGCTTAGATAGTTATATGACTATACTTTGAATATTGCAAGAATATGATACTTGGTTGTGAATTTTCTTGCAATTATGATCAATGGTTTGGCTTGGTTGATTGATGATTGTGTCCTTGTGATGTCTAGGATAGAGACATTTGGACCAACCGTGAGTGATCAACCATTGGAGCAAACTATGGAGCTTGATTAGCTATTTGGAATAGGTGAGATCATGCTAAGTTAATATGTAGAGTTGATGTGGTAGTAATGGATATAAGTAAATATTCATTGGATAATATGATTGATGCTATGGCACCTTGGTGTAGGTGTGTTACTTGTAAGTCATTGTTGAAACCAAAGTTGATTGGTTGTTGAACCTGTTGGTGGTGAACAAAGGTTGAACGAAAGCTTTGAGGTAAGCCCTCAGACCTTGGGTGTAATTCCCTTGAGTGTTCCACCAAGCCCTGAAAGGGTAGTGGTTGTTGATAGTGTATATAAATGCAATGAAATAGTGTAATGCTTTGTTATACGTATGTGTATGCATTTGGTGTGGCATAGGATGGTGTTTCCCTATGTTGGTATGTTGCATGACGATGCGTAAATCATACTTGGTAGTTAGCTGGCCAGTAGGACTATTTGCATATGAGTTTCCTTAGGACAGCTTGAGAGCTCGAGGGATTTCTCCTGGAGATGTTATTGCACTTTGCATAGATATGTATTTACTGCATTATTATTGTTATTGCTATTACACTGATATGGAACTGTGGGGTGGAGAGATGCTCCAAGGACCCCTGGTTTACTGGATATATTCGTATATCTCACCCCGTATTATGGGGACCCCCTTTCAGGTAAGGATGCTGCAGGAGCCACCAGTGGCAAGTGGCCATACTTGGACTAGTAGTGATGCATGAGGATCCTGTATTTTGATATTATACATGTTGTTTTGTAGCTCACATGTATAGGATTGTAACTAATAGACAATTGATAGATGTATGTTCTGTTTATTTGGAATGGACTTAGCCTATGCTCATGCCTTTGGTTATCTCTTTGTTGATGGGAGCCAAGGGAGTGATCATAGTGTTTTGTAAGCTAAGTTCCATGAATTGTAATGAACATGATTTGTAATTGATGATTACTTTAAGTTCAATATATGTATGCTCATTAAATATTGGATTGTTGAACTGGAAACTAAATTAGGTACCTAGTGCTAAATTGGGAAATGTTGAGAAAACAAAGGCATCCTGTCCGGTTGACCAATTTTCATACCCAATGTGATGGAATTGGACTTTGATGCCTTATGGAAGTTGTAGACATTTCTCTTAGCTTTCCATAGAGACCAAAATGGTGTAATTTGAGTGAGTATAGCTCAAGTTATGAGTGGAAAACCATAGGTAGGTTAAATGACCTTGTTTTGGGTCACCCAGCCCTGTGGATGGCGCCTGGGGCGCCAGATTCACGCTTGGGGCGCCAAATTACAAAACCAGATAGTAGCATCCACGCTGAGGGTGCCACTCCCACGCTGGGGACGCCAACTTTCTGTTTTCCCAGGCTCTGGGCGTGGATCCCAAGCTACGGGCGCGCGGGTCTTGGAGATTTTGCACCCCTTTTCTTAGAAAATGCCTAACTTTTGCTACGGTGCTCCGATTTGAGCGCGGTTTGAACCTACGCGTAGCTAATGAAAAATAATATAACATAGTAGAAGATGGGAATCATAAAAGAAGTGTATAATTAATTTGATAATTAAAGAGATGAAGACATTCAACGACGTATTGTCTAATATACGGGGAATATAATATTAAGTTTAGTCTCATTATTCCACAAAGCAAATATGGTTATGATCACACACTTGGTTATATTAAATTCGGCACGTTTTAAAAGGAAAAATTTATCCGGAATTTAATTGAACCATGTGATTGTAACTGCGCTTAATGCCGTACGCAATGATAACATTCCGGTTCTAGAACGGGGTGTTACACTTCTTGGACAACTTATGCATTGATTTTTTAAGTTAAAAAATAACTACTTCATAGTCTTCATCTTCAAAGTAAATTCCAGCCATAAGACAAATGTTTGTTTTAGTCTCACTACTTTCAGAGCCTTCTTCTGATTCAGAGTCACTCAAAGCAGCCATCATCGCTTTCTTGAAATTCTTTTTCCCAAAGTTTCTGAGTTCTTTTTCCTTATTCTCTTTCTTGGCTTCATGCTCTAATCCAGAACAATCCTTGATCTTGTGATCTATTCTACCACACTTATAGCAGCCATCATTAGTTTTAAAAGATGAGTTTTAGGATTTTACCTGATTGTTGCTTGAGATTCCATTGTATTTTGGGTTCTTAAAGTATTTTTGAATTTTCGCATAAGCATAACGATTTCATCCTCATCATATGAGTCATCATTAGCGACCTTGTATTGAGCTTTAAGAGCTAAACCTTTATCTTTCATTCTCACATCATTCTTCCTATGAGACTCCAGCTGCATCTGATCATAGGTCATCAGGGATCCTGCTAGTTACTCCAAGTTGAAGGTTTTGAAATTCTTGGTCTCTTGCAGGGCAGTGACTTTTGGTATCCAATCTTCTCTTGGGAGACTTCTTAGAACTTTTTTGACCCGTTCTTCAACTATAATTTTCCTTCCTAAAGCACTTAACTCATTCATAATATTAATAAAGCGCGTAATCATATCTTTAATTGACTCTTTTCGCTTCATGGTAAATAGTTTATATTGATGCATTAAGAGATCAATTTTAGATTACTTTACCTCATTGGTTCCTTCATGAGTTACCTCTAGGAGTTCTCACATTTACTTGGCAGTTTTGCATCCCATTACTTGGTTGTGCTATTGTGTTCCAAGGTCATAGTGAAGAATTTTCTTGGCTTGTGCATTAAGTTCTAGCTTTCTCCAATCTTCATCAATGTATTCAACAGTGGTCTTGTGCATGATGTTTCCTTATTCATCTCTCTTTGTGATCTAGAAGTCTCTATTTTCAATCACATTCCAAACTTGGTAATTGTCGGCTTTGATGAAAATCTCTATCTTATTCTTCCAGTAATTGTAGAACTTTCCTTCGAATAAAGGAAATCTTTGTGTGGAGAATCCTTCCTAGATGCTTTCAATCGGGTTTATCTTTGGATCTACTCTTCAGGAATTACCTACATAGATAAGAGAACACGGCTCTGGTACTAATTATTGGTCCCAGATGCACTCAAGAAGGGGATGAATTGAGTTTATAAATTTTTTCACAATTTAGAAACAAACAATTGCAATAAAATAAAGAGTAAAAGGAAGAAGTGACACAATTATTTTAACGTGGAAAAAACTCCAACTGGAGGAAAAAAAACCACGACCCCAATCTGGATACCTCTATCCAATCGATCAATTCAAAGTATAAGAATAAATCATATTTTATCCTTATACAAGAATTAACCTGAAACCTTACCCAAGGTTTCTAGAACCCTACCCCTAGGATTCTCATGGAGTTTAATCAAAGACTCTCTGAAGCCAAACGACTCTTGTCTTTATTCGCGAACAAAAGGAAAAAAAAATCTATACTC